GTAAGCTGCTGGACGTTCTCAGAGATCCAGTCGGTAGCCGCTTTGGTCTGGGGGCCATCACAAGTTCACCTTCTCCCCTTGCTTCTCCTCATGATCAGAAAAATGAGTAATTTTAACTCAGAGAACCATATTTTCTTTGTTATTGCCCCGTTATCACCTCTTTCGAAGGCTTTGTGATCAATTCCCGTTGTAAAGGTTTCCTTCAGCATCGAGGCATTCGCGTGGTCCCATTTCTCAGCATAAAGGAGGATTCTATTTCATTGTGGAGGCAGATTTGCCATTTCTCCAGTTCTGAGGTCAATACCAGCTTTCCAGAGGGAAGCCAAATCCAGGGAGAAGGCGGACTAATGTCTCAGAGCGGGGTAATCGGGACTGGGAGTGGTTCCACCTCCAAGCGTGATTGATTCATTAGCTTGGTTTCATCCTGAAAAAACCCGTGATACCGGTTCCTCTGCCTTTTTGGACAGAAACGTTTCTGGAGGATTATGGAACTCGATTTGATTAATGACTACTGTAGCTTACAATGACCGCGATAATTCTGTTTTCTGTAAAGAATATCAAAGTGATAATAGGTCCGCAGTAAATGGCTTCTTTCATGAGCGACGCTAAACCCTTATGCAGGGGATGAAGTGGAACAGGAATGAAAAATCACCCCAATCCGATTACCTTTCCCTTTGCCGGCAGGACAGTTGTCTTTCTATCGTCGGACACGCCTTGCCTTCTTTCACGTCAAATTAGCTCGAGTTTCTTTGAAACGAGGTTCCGGGACAGCATTTCTATGAATGGTTCCATCAAAAGCGACTTTTGGGTGGAGTGGGCATTGAATCGCTTCCGCGTACACGGCCGGCTCTGGAATCTTATTAGGAAGCTATTGCTTCATCAACCAGCTGGGTTGTTAGGAAACGGATATTCAATTAAGCATTTTGAAGGGAGGGTTGAGGGGTAAAGGCGATCTGTGGTAACCCTTGGCTACCCCAGCCGCCCAGCTAAATTAGGAGACAGAACTCCAGCTGATCGTCTTCCTTCCTTGGACATGCTCTTGGATAATAGTGCCTGGTGAGCGTGTTGCAGCCGCGCCCACTGCCTCTAGCAGGGATATTTCCTGCACTGGTGCAGTTCTTCCTCCAGTCCTGTGGGATTGCTGAGCGGCTATCAGCCGGTGAGCCTCCAGAAGTAGGCCAAATACGCGACCACACGACCTTGTCACATAGCATAAGTCACCTCTCTAATTGCTTGACGTAACCCAGGAGGTTCGCTCCACTTCGCATTACATCGTTAGGCCCTCTAAACGACGACGATCTTCCATTACCTCACCTTAAGGGACAACATCACTGTTTCTCGCTGCTGACGCTGGCGACCTTTTTAGCAGGGTGGTTGGCGCGATACGCCTCCGCCAATGGCGGTCGCCCGCGGTCTACGGACAGCTAAAACTCAATCCCTTTAATGGCGCCAACTTTCTTCTTTTCTCTTGCCTGGATGGCGATTTATGGCCACTTTGACCTTTCACATTCAACTTTTCACGCATACTAAGTGGCTCATCCACCCCGATATCCCTTCCCCTCGAAAAAACTCATCTCCTGGCTCGCATCGTGTTTTTTGTACCTCACGATGCCTTGGCAGTCCCTTATTGCTCTGCGCTCTGGCCAATCGTGGCAGGACCCCCACCAAAAGTTTTAAGTCTGCTCACAGTAAACCCGTCCCCGCTAGCTTACACCAATTAGTGGAACACAGAGCCAGCGCTGTGCCCGAACCCAGCCCTTCTAAGACGCTACGGGGTCAGCAGAGAACAGTACGTTACCCGACTTACTACTGAAACTACACTAGGCCACCGACGGTCAACTTTCTCTACGATTAACCCGAGTTAAATGGCCCTGGAACCCGAAGACCTAGTTACACTAACTAGCTGTATACAAACTGGCCTGATCTCCAAGACCACCATGTACGCCGCTATAACTGGGCTTTCAATGATCTCGATAAGCTGGACGCGCAACGAACAACTTCAAGTTTTCTTTAGCGTAAGGAGTAATTTGCGGTCCAATGCGATATCGGCAAACTGGCTCACCACATTAGCGCTGTAAGGCTATGGGACAAAATACACCGGGCTGAGAGGGTAGCAGCTCGGGTGGCATAACGGATAGCACCTCTTCCCGGACAGCGCTTAAGTGTGGTTGGCGGACGGACTTGGGAAAGACAAAGAGTTCTCCCATAACTCAGCATTCCTTGGCGACGCACTATAGGTGTTTTGCAAGAGATCGGCGCAAGACAGGTAGCTGTCTAGGAACGGCCAGGCACAGCAGTTGGCTGACTGGTGCATCGTACTGGGCGACGGGGGAGGGGGTACTTCCACCCGGTTCCATTTGTGTCTATTTGAAGCTTTCACTTCTTCTTCATAGGTCAGGTCCGGAACCACAGCTGTTGGCGAAGACAAACCCGGCGTGCGTACTAAACGCCCAACGCAACGCAACGTTAACAGCAAACTTCGTGTAAATTGAGCAGGTATGCTCAAGTACGACAAGATTTGAAAAGCGGCGGCGGGGTGGGGGCATTTTTGCTTCTGCCCACATCGACCCGTACCGATCCTTATCTAGACAGCCTTGCTCTGAGTTGACAGGCATTTACATGATGGCTTGACGAAACCTTGACTATAGCTTCACAGGAGCTTCACACAGGTTGTGCCCAGAGTGAGACTTCGTGTAACCGGAATTAGGGATGCAATGATAGATACAAAATTGCCCCCCCCCCCACGAACTTGGCGCACTTTTTTAACAGCCTGTCGACTGTAGTCTAAGCGAAAGTAGAGTGCGCGGGCATCCTTGTCGGTGAGGGTATATCTCTTCTTTTCCTATTTTTTCTGCGAAACTGACTGTGCATCCTAAGGAAGGTAACATCTTCACTAGAGAACTCCTGTAGAGCCCCGGTGTCTTATCTCATTTGTTCGAGAGTGGGTGAGGACGGTGACTATGTGACGAAGCTGAAACATTTTTCTATTCTTGACTGGTTTCCCCGAGCTGTAGGCACCACTGTGGGGGCTTCCACAAGTCTCCACTTATTGTAACTTGGAACATAGAGCTTGCTCGCCTGCGAAGGCTTGGAACATTTCAGAAGAGAGTAAGCGGCAGCGCGGTTCCATAACTGCGGACGCTTGCCTGCTTCAACAATTTGGTGCTCTGTGAACGGGCTACCGTTTCGCCAAACCCACCTATTCCCCCCCGCTCCTGAAATGCCCCTGCATTAGCAGCGAACAAGGCTGTATCTCTGCCCTAAGAGACCCTGAGTGTCAGGGTCGACCTAGTGTTTTAGAAAATGACTCCATCTAAAAACGAAGTCTGGCCTGAAATCTGGATATTCAGAAAGCCATGTTAGAATGAACCCAGCACAAATGAGTTTAGGCTTTTCCGACGAATTCGCTCCCCCTCCTCCACCGACTTATACTGCGGCTTTCTCTATGGTCTCCTCTGAATCCTATTCAGCCCGAACGTCCAGTTTGTGAGATTAACACAGGATCCGACAATGCAGTTTCTAATCGAGCTTGATCTCACCTACCACCAACGAGTTCTTTTTCGGAGCGATCGACCAGCGAAGACAAGCAAATCTTAGCTGCGTTAGCCCCATAAACTTGTATGATTAGCATTAGTTCCAACCGGTGACGCCCCGCGGGATCTGATTCCCAAACTCTCGTATTCCTTTAAATATAAGGCATTAATCTAAATGTCGCTTATGAATACTGTGGTCCCCGCACGAAACACGGTTTTGGATGGCCTAGGATCCGCTGGGTGACTAACGATCCAACAACTTGAAGAACAAACTGATTCTTTTACCAACGGGGAAACGGCCACGGAATATCTTCGCCATCTCATAGTTTGTGGATTAAAAATCTCATCAAATTGGTGCTGAATAGTGGCTTTCCATGACTCGAATGCTCAACGACCCGTTGAAGTTTACGAGGCCCTCGTCCTCAAAGGGTCCTGACCTTAGCGTCTACTTTGCCTTTACCAACACACGGTATAGAGCGTGATCCCCTGCCAACGATAGGGCGAGTGAGCGGGGGGGGGCGGCAGCGTGCCGTTAGGATCGCTGCCCAGACAGCTCTTCCCGCCATTTGTTCCGGATTCGTTGCTGAAAAAAAAAAAAAAAGGGAAGAAAATGACGTCATTTGATGGAAGGCTGCCTCAGGCAGCGCTCCCATCACCCCCCCCCCCTCAACTTCACCGCCACATATCCACTCTTTGCAGGCATCATGACTGCACGTGGTCACTCGGTGACCACGTGTGCACGAATGTCTTGTGCTGTAAAAAGATGAAGCCACAAAGGGCGAAAGTAGGTTACAAAAGACATTTCGTTGGACATTGCATGGCTTTGGAGGCTGAAGAAAAAAAATCATAGCATGTAAGTTGACAGCTGTCTCGGCGATGATAAAACCAGTACTGCGACAGATTGAAGTGACGCGTTGGAGGGAGACAAGCATCAAGGATCGACGTGTAAAGTCGGGGCGCGCGACTCACTGATTGAGCCACAATTCACAACGTTAGCTCTCGACTAAGCCCTTACAACTCGGTTAGCTTACCAGACACCATTCCAGTTAAGATTTCTGGGGACCGACGCGCCAGGCAAACGAGCGAAAGAATCTTTATGTCGCCGGTCTTTACACTTTCGTCAAAATAGAAAAAAACTGAGAAACCAATAAATAGATTTTTGCTGTGGTCAATGCATTTTTGCCATTTTTTGTGCAATGCCTTTTATATTTGTCAGCTGCGAAGTGTCAGACAATTGATTACATCTTCCTACCCGAATGTTCACGTCTGGTCATGATTTTCTCCGTACAACGCTCCAGTGCTCATGGCCACGCAGGGATCTTTCCAAGAGGCCCCGCCTCCGTGACTACCAGCTGTCCAAAAGGTCATATCAAGTTCTGGGAAAGATAGAGTCGCGCAATTTCTGTGCACAATGCCTTCAAGGGATAAGACCTATCCAAATCGTTTTAATGGCCCGAAAGGAGCTTTATGGTGCATGAAAAACGTTCCGATGAAAAGATAGACGGAGCTAATGTGGCTATTTCAGTTAATGCTATTGAAAATGGCTGCGACGATGCCGATCCAAAGTGTCCGGAATGGGCAGCTGAGGGCGAATGCTCGTCGAACGCCGTTTGGTGAGTTGCCCAAAGTTGGTCGTGAAGACGAACCTATTAAAATAACGGTTCATTACAGGATGATGGCAAATTGTCGAAAGTCGTGCCATTCGTGCCAAGGTGGCGATAAGGCATGGAAATTGCGGACTCATATTCAGGCCAACTATCATAATGCTAGCGATAGCACGACTAGAATTGTACGAGTTGAAAGCGTTCGAGTGAACAACGTGGAGATAGTGAGTGAGACCTTTTTTCACTCTTTCGCTCAGTTTTTCTCAAAGCGCCATCTACACTACCCGTGCACACGGTAGACTTCATAGGAAGCCCCGCCTCAGATGGTCACGCCCATTTTTGTCGCGAACATTGTCTATATTTTCAGTTGTACCACATTATTTACAGCAGTTTTCACAGTTACATTACACATATACACTGCTGAATGGGCTCACATGTTATGATACACTTGACTCCGCTCCGACGACTCCGCCTACTTTTTAAGGGATTCATTAGAAATTCATTGAAGCGGTATTTGCCGCTGCTAGCTGCTTGCACAAAAAAATGATATATTGTTATTTATTATTCGTGTATTGACGCGCGTGAATTCATATATATGATACATTCACGGAAGGGACGGATAAAGTTGTAAAGGAGCCTGAAAATTAAGAGGCGCATTTTGACTTTTGGAATGCGTACGGTGGCTTAGGGGTTCGAAAGATCAAATCCTGTGTACTTTCCAAAGTCCCCGCATGCGATGCCCAAGAGACTGCCACCTCTCTTGCGTTGCGTACTGGTGCGAACTCGTGATATATCTGGAGGGGGGGGGAGAAAGAAGAGGATGAAAGGGATCACATTTGTTCTTCCCACTTCAACTCTGAAGGCAAATCTGGGGAGCGGCGCATCAAAAATGCCTGATGAGTTCCTGATACATTACCTTTTTCCTCTAAGCCCGGGCACTTTTCCTGCCAAATAGTAAAATCGTTGAATACGAAGATCGTATGAGGCAAAAATCGCCTGGGCATTGCAAAAAGACCTAGTCACGCCTCTCGCCACTGCGCTATGTTCCTTGTCTTTTCTTCCTCTTTGCCGACTTTTTCGATTGTTTCTAAGCAGTTTGATTGAAATTCGTCGTTGATTTCAGGACGAGAAGAAGCAGAACGTTAAAGTCTTCGGCCGATTTGTCCTGGTGAGTATACTACCTCGCCATCCCACTTTGCCTATTTTATACTCTGTATCCCTGAGATGGAGTAGGCGTGGCATTTAGGCATGGTACAGAAAACTCGTGGGATTCTTCAGTTTGAGACAACTGTCATCTTGTTCTGTATTGGATAGAGACACGACCACAATTGTGTCAAAATGGAAATATTTCTCCAAAAGCACAGTAACCGCCACGTTTAGTTGAAAAACGCAGCCACGCCTACCCCATCTCTGGGATTTCCAGTGTATATGAGGTTATTTATCTTTTTTATTTATCTTTTTCCTTGATTGGGTTGTTTATAGATTTATTGATTCAGAGTTGGAACGACACAAACATCTCGTGGGACAAGAACCAATGGGGTCTCAGCTGGCTGAACTTCTACTGGATTCAGATTTGGACGCCACAGATCGTTCAGCTGAACGGGTGAGCTCCAACTTGTTAAAGAGTGAGGAAGCCGCCGCCCACGAAAGTGACGTCGCTGTCGCCACACTGCCGCAATGCGTACCTCCTGGCCAGCACCCACTAGCGGCGCTTTAAAATCCGTTTGGTCACATTTAGAGCTCTGGAATTGAGTGAGTTTGCCTCATGGTCAGACATTATTAGAGTAACGAGCGGTGACTAGGGTCACTTTGACTTCATCTAGCTGTTCTTCTGCCTAACCCTTCGCCATCAATCATCACCAGTGCAGTTAGGCTGCGTTCAGACTTCGCGACAATGAGAGCACAATCTTTACCGTGGCCCATTGATGTCACGCTAGGTACACTGCAAACCCTGTTCCGAAGGACCACGCCCTATATTCAAAGCATTTGGCGCTTTTGATTGAGACATTGTGGTCCTTTTTGGTATTTTTCTGCCTCTTGAGCTGCGCCGAGAGGTTCTGCGCAGGGTAGGAGACTCCGCCCACTATGGCAGCACTGCCTACTTGAGGGAGCTCCACCTATTTGCATAGAATGGCTCAAATCGGCGAATCTTGGTTAGCAAGCAGTAGTCTCCCTTGTCACTCGGAACATTAGACCAGGTAAAGTTCGA